AGGGCTCCAGTCCCCGAGTTTAGCCCAGAGAACGTTCCAGTCCCCGTGTCTATCACAGAAAGGGCTTCAGTTCCCATGTCCAGCCCAAGGAGGGCTCCAGTCCCCAAGTCAAGCCCAGGGAGGGCCACAGTTCCCGAGTTAGGCCTACGGCGGGCCTCTAAAGACAATATTCTCTCCAAGGATTTTTTGGGGTAGTATGGGTCCGTCTGTTGTGGCCTGGCCGAGCGACGAGGCCAAGGCCACGGAGGCCGTCCAGCCATGGCCTCCTGAACTATCTGCTCCGCCATGGCTTCCTGAACTGCCTGCTCCGCCATGGCGCCCCGAGCTCCCTGCTCCACCATGGCCCCTGAGCTCCCTGTGCCGCCCTGGCACCCTGGACTGTCTGATCCGCCCTGGAGGTATTCCCCGTGTCCCATTCCTGCACCAGCCTCCAGGGTGCCCACCCTTGGAGGCTGGGGAGTAATGTCAGACGCTGTTCCATGTTTTGTGTGTGTTTTGCTCCCCATGTGTTTCAATGCTCATATTTGGTCCTTCCCGTTCCTGTCCTTATTTTGTTCCAGGTGTCCCCTTCTCAGTTCTATTGATCCCAGGTGTGTCTCGTCATCCCATCGTCATGTCATTTGTATAAATAGTGTTCCATGTTACTAGTTCGGCGTCCGGTATTATGAATGTCTGTATATGTCTTCCCTTGCTACGTGTGTTTTCCTTGTTCCCTGGATGTGATTAAAATCTATATGTTTGAATTCCACTCCTCGTCTGATGGCGAGATGGCTCCGAAGCCAACAAGACGCTGTTCAGTGTCAAGTAGGGTTGTCAAAAGTATCGACTTCGGTACCAGTCAGTACTGAAATTCAAAAAAATGTGATGACACCAGCATTTTATGCTAGCATTTTGAGCGCTGTTGAGCAGATTCTTAAACACCTCTGATTGACCATTGTGTTCTCTTACAAAGATACACACGGGATCGTTTGAAAGCCGCGTCTATCAGCAGATATATTATGAGCATATCTATATGAGCAGATATATTAGAGATCCGCTGATGGATCCACTGATAAACGCGGCTTAGAAATGCTGGTATCACATTTTTTTAAAATTTCAGTACCGACTGGTACTGAAGTCGGTACTTTTGACAACCTTAGTGCCAATTTGTGGAAAAACACAGTCTTTGCATTGCCTTCCTTCTGATCCCAACTTTAGGAAAGAGTGGATGAATTTTATTTTTAAA